GTAAGCCACCTACGACTAGACTTCTTAGACTATTTCAGGTACCAGACAATAGAACCCCAGTGACATGATCTGTTCACTGCTTAATCTAGTTATATGGTCGAAAATTTAAAAAATGTATGCAAAATACCTATTTTAAACATTCACTTAAATTAAGTCTTCCGTATATTATGATTTTAAAACATTGCAAGACAAGTAAATTCTTTTCTTCTCTTGGATATTTCACATGGATCCACCAAAAGGTAACCTAAAGAAGTCTTGTTGGCCAACTAGGCACCAAACCGGTCCTTTTTTGCAATGGCCTGTTGTTATTCTATCATGCTTAAAAACGGTACGGTTTAACCAAAATCCCTCCCTCCATGTAGACAAGCACTAAATTCCGACATCATTATGTTTGTCATGTCAGCAATTAACGTGAGAGGCTCAAGAGTGTGTTTCCGACTTGGAATATAGGCCATAAATTCCCAGAGTCCTCTGCAATGAGACCAAGACTCGATGTATGTCAAGGCATCTAGCCTTGCTGAGTCTCCATGACAGCAAGAAATGGAGATCTATCTGGGTTGGCATTGTTGACACAAACAAGCTCCTTATCATGATAGCACTGATGTTTAATATACGGACCTCACCTAAACCTTAAATAGGTAGTCTATAGAATTTGACAGAGAAGCAGTGGTGGCTTCTGTCCGCCTGCTTGTCCTTCTGTCTGGGTGTCTATGTAGAGATCAAACCTTCCAGCAGAGCTGGTGTTTTTCTCGGATTCATTACTGTACAACACACTGAGCTGTTTGAGTGTAGGAAGTGTGTGTCTGTTTGACACTTCCTGCTGCGGGGACAGTGGCAGGCTGGTAGGGTGTGGGGGGGGGAGAGTCTCCCCCACCCCCCCTACCCCCCACGCTTCCTGTTATTGGGGCTATCAATGATATAGAGATTCCTGTACAATGACACAGCTGCAAAGATGAATGTAGAGCTCGTTATACATTACATTTCATTGGGTTTACTTCATAATGCAATAATAGTATGAAAAATGCAGCAAGCATAACGGCCGATTGGCACCCAGGCATGTCCCTCCATGTCTAAAATTGTCCTAGGTTTTGGATTTAAATAGTATTCCATGATGACTAGGTGACCACAAAAAAAAAAGCAACATAGTGTTTTTTGGTATATGATCAAAGGTGACAGATTATGATGTCTATGCTCATCACCCAGGCATCCCGAAGCAATCAATGGTACTAGTCTAATTGGTGAAAGATGAAGTCTGATTGTTCATTATGAGAAACAGCTCTTTTGCGAGAAATTATTGTAAAACAGTGGCCAGATTGACTAGTGACCCATCCGTCAGGACCCACTGTATTCCTTGCCGGACACTGCCAGTAGTGTGCATGTGGTTCTTTCATGTTTTGGTATAACAGAGGAAGGGTTTGGGCCTAAGCACAGGGAAATGTTCTGTCCAGTTGATACATCTCACAGAGCAATTATGAACACTTCTGAATGCCTGTGAAGCTTATTATCACCCTAAAGAACATGTTGAACAATCAGAAGGGGTCCTCGAAAGCTGGAACTGGACTGTGTACCAGGACTTGGTTTTACTTGGTTTTCAAAGCTGCTTATTGTTGAGAGGATCGCTGAGCAATGACATTTACACACAACTACCTGGTCAGTCCATGCAAAACCATGTCTGGTTTATGCCATCAGGCCAAAGTCACACTAGAGTTTCATTCATTAGTGGCCGAATTATTAATGGTTCACACACCTTCTCCTGCAGTGTAGCCAAGGCAGCTGGATATCACTGTGACTCTACTGCCTTGCTAGTGGTCAAGGTTCTGTAGTGTTTTGGTAAGAGAGTAATGTCCAATAGGTAAATTGGCAGTTGCATCTTGGTGAGGCATCACTAGTGGCAAAAGAGCCTGTGTATGGGCCTTAAAGTGGTTCTGGGAGCATTGAAAAATGCAGGCTGCTGTTTCATGACTCTTGTAACTATGCAAGTTCTAAAAAGGTCATTGTGGTCCTTAGGGTCATGTCAAACAAGCAATTCTTCTGCTGGCACCATATCACCAAGGAAAGCCTACCACTTACCGTATTTCCAAGAAATCACTTCCACTGCCAAACCTCTCTTTCTAGTAAAGAGCTTCACCAAGGTCAAGTATAAGTTCAACCCAAACCCAATTTGTTTGCAGTTTGCTGTTCATTCATTAAAAGTTAGATAGTAAATAAAAGCAGACACCTTTAAAATAAATCTTTAAAAAAATGCCCCATAATGTAAATCCAACATCAATCACCAGCTATATAGTTCCAATGTCAATTATGATGAGCAATGCCCTAACATCATGAACACGATGACCCTTGCATGGCAATCATCTCCTACCAGGCTCCCGTCACAAATGATAGGTCTTGGTACCTGGCTGACATCATTGGCCAGATATGGTCATGACCATAGTTGGTCATTGACGTAAACCAGGATTTCCTGCCTGTTTTGTTTACAAATGTAAGCAGGCCAGGGATCAGAAACGTCACATAGGGACTTTTGTTGGGTTACATCCTACAGGTGCGCCACTTCACATGCAGTTTTAGGGCATCCCCCAAGTATGTAATTTAAAGGAACTGTGTATTTTTTATGTTGCCCATTAAGCCTTAATATAAGACCCCCTCTCTGCCAAACAGTTTTTTTTAAACATTTTTTGCACTGGTGCATGTCCCAATCGGCAGTGTACAGATACCCGCACCCCTTTTCACCAAAAGCTTCCAAATTGGCCTTAAAAAAGTACAGATACGGCTCCTGTAGACTTTTTTGGGGTTCGGGCACTATGTTAGAAGTTTGTGGATTTTTTTAAGTGTTTCAGCAAATTAATCAGACTTTGCATAGTGCAGAGGCAGTAGGAAAGTTACATCCGGCTAGTGAGGGAGCAAACCCAAAGAAACAGGTAGGTGGTCTCTTAGTGATGCTGTTGCTGGCAAGTTGTCACCACCAACAGGATCGCTCATATGACATGGCCCTTAAACTGATGTAAGATTGGTGATTCTGCTGTTGGTGACAAAGGAAGGCGCAAATACATGAAGGTTAAGCAAACAATTTCCCTAATGAGTGTTGCTCTCTCGTTGGCCCTGAACACTGCAAAATTACACTTGTAAGCAATGTAGAGGCGTCTTGCTGGTTGGGCCAACTAGGGAGCAACTCCACAGGAAAAGATAGATGGTAACCATTGCTCATCTGGCATGGCCCTAACTCCATTGCTGATGTGGACCAAAGAGACAATGGGTGAAGTCTGAAGGCCTGCACCATAGCATGCTTATTCCAGGTTAGTGACTCACCAGGCAGTGAAGTGAGGATCAAGCTCCCACAACTTGTACCTTGTAGAACTGACAGCTTCCTTTTAAACCACCTACCTGCTCCTTCCATCTGGCAGTAAACTCTGGAGGCTGCACATCAGCTACTGCAATTACGAGCAGGCCCACCTCTCACTGCTGGGTTTTTATTTTGTATTATGGAGGAGGAACATCTGAACACCCCCTGTTCTAGCACAAGGACTAAGACTCCAAGGCAGGCGAAAACAAAGCTGAAGTCTCTCATGGGGGATATTAGAGTCTTCATTTTGGAAGTTAGCGGATAATTCAGCCCACCAGGCTCCACTACGATCAACTGACCATTTAAATAAATGTTTTTCTGAACATGTTTAAATCTGAATAGTATATCTTCAGAAGACAAAAAGAGGTCAGTGTGTGCAAAAACATTGTGCCGGGGGTCTATCGTTTCTATACTTTTTTATGGTTTCACAATGCTGATGGGTTTTCATCTGTGGGACTACAACTTCCTACATGCAATGTAAAAAGTATAAAGATTTTTTATGATGTGGGTGTGATATACTAAAAGTAGATATAAATCATTCATATTGGATATGTCATGTTTACTTGACTAAAATGATAAAATAGTTTTATGTTTTTTTATTTTTTTTTTGTCCCTGAACATAATCAATGAAAGGAAAAGTATACAAAACGCATTCCCTTTAACTGCTATGTGTACCTGTAAATATTATTATTATTATTATTATTTTTTATACAGGATTTATATAGGATTTTTATAATGATGAAATAGGTTTGCTGACCATACTGACCACCTCATCTGAAAAGGCTGCAAAGCTGATCCAATGGCCTCAGTACTTTCTGGCTCAGCGACAGCCAAACAATTAGCATTCTCAAAGGGTTATAATGGGCAGCCAACTAAAGTTCCCTTTAAATCTCTGTTATTGGATGCATACAGAGGAGCAACTGATACAAAAGTTCATCTTACTTAAAGGACCTTTTTGAAACATTTGATGGTTAAGAGCAGGGGCGGACTGACAACTCATGGGGCCCCGGGCAATAGGAGATCATGGGGCCCCTGTGTCCTTGCCCAAACTCAAAAAAGCCTATGAAAAAGGTACCAGGGGCATCTCATGGGGCCCCCTACTGACCCCGGGCCCTCGGGCAGTGCCCGAGTTTCCAAATGGTCAGTCCGCCCCTGGTTAAGAGTGTCAAATGAGGCCAACGCGTTTCAGGAGAAAAAAGCTTCCCCCTTGAACAGGGCTTGAGCATTTGGTATAAATAGAATCCCTACCTTTAGGGCCATCAGGACATGCTAGTCTTCATCAAACACAGGTCTCTCTGTGCATTCTTTTATGATTCTATTAACAGCAACTGGTCAAGTCCTGAAGAAGAAGGAGGCTTTTTCTCCAGAAACACATTGGTTGTATCTGATGTTTTCATGTCATGTTTTTGTATGTTCAAATACAGATGACTATTTGCATATTTTACATCTACAGTATGTCTGATTACTTCCAAAAAACGTCGCATGGGCAGTATGTCTTGACTTTTCTGGATGTATCTGATGCTCTTGACCCATTAAACATTTCAAAAAGACCTTTAAGAGAAATAAACTTTTGTACCAGGCGCTTCACATCCAAAAATTACCCTGTTGAGCACTCTCCCTTTGCCGCTATCAGAGAGGTAGCAAGAGCAGAATAGGGTTCACC